TAAGTAAAATATTTTTTAAATTAAGGCCAAACGCATTCTGTTTTTTAAATTAAAATTTCTCCGACGTTTGTTTAAAATTGCATATATGACCATGAAATAAATTTCTGCATTTTATTAAAAAAAAACTAATAAGTTTCTAAAAATATATATGAAATGCACATGTACATATGAAATGCACAAACAAGAGATCTTTATTATTTTCATATTATTAATTCGAAAAAAAAAAATTCATAAAATTATATGAAAGTAGGAAATGTTTAAAAAGAACTGAAGTTTTTGTTTGTTTTTTTTTTATTTAATTCATAAGTAAAAAAAACTAATATGATATAGTTTAAAAAATTCTATAAAGTCAGTTTTGCGTTATTTTTATAATAAATAATATTCTTGATTGACTTTCCTCAGGGTAATCGCAATTTTTTTATGTATCCACGTTCAAAGGTTTCTGAACATTTTAGTATACCTTAGAAAAAATGTATGTATGTGTGTGCGGATACAATTTTTAGCGACGATTTCGGGAACACCGTTCAACCGATTTGAATGATTCAAAAAACATTCGATCCACACAAAATACTAAAAATAAAGAAAGTTACAGTATTTTTAATGACCCATTTGAAAACATTTTGTTTGAATTTCGGTACGGGAAGTTCCAGCAATTAAGGCACGATAACAGCCTCTACTATTTTTTTAAATATAAAAAGAATTCTCGTATATTGCAAGTAAAATTCTCTTATACAAAATATAAGACGTTGTAGATTTATGTAAAGAAATTACGTAATTCATATTTAACTCCCACGTTTATTTTATTTTATTAAAGTTAAATCTTGTAGAGAATAATAATTATTAATGTTTTGTTTGCAAATTGCACATATTCGAGATCAAATGTAAGAATTAATTAGATTTCTGATATTATTTTAGGATTTCTCCAGTAATAATAATATGAGCACGTGCTTGTGAACGTGCATACGATATTTCTGAAGACGAAATAAATTTATATGTATATATATATATATATATATATATATATATATATATATATTTATATATATATATATATATTTATTATATATATACATATATAATTTGTGTTATGATTGCATATGAGAAAATGTTTTCATTTCATTTTCATACGATCTTGTAAACGTTTTTCACATGCAATAATATAAGACAGAAGAAAATGCTTAAGAAACTTACAAATTTTGTAAAAATTTGCCTAAAAAGCTATATAATTAATACTACTACTGGAAAATATAGAGTAAATAGCTTTTTTCTGATTTCATATTCTTTTTAAAAAAAATTTATTATTATTATTTTTTTAATTATTCGTTGTTGACAGGCAGACTTCTGTATTTTGATAATTTGGTACTTTACTTTACTTTTCTTCAAATTACTTTTAATTCTTTTCCGGAACATAATGATTTATTTACTTTAGTAAAAATTAGATAAAATTTACTAAAAGCAAGTAAAACCGTTTTATACACTTGGATATTGAAATTTTGAATAATTCGTAGTTGAAATGCAGACTTCAGTAATTTGATAATTTGCTACATATGAATTTGGTACATTTTTTTTACATTTCTTCAAACAACTTTTAATTTTTATTCCATCATTATAATTTGTTTACATTAGTAAAAACTAATATATATATATATATATATATGTATATATACATATATAATTTGTTTCAAGATTGCATATTATAAATTGTGTTTTCATTTCATTTTCATACAATCTTATAAACGTTTTTGATATGCAATAATAAAGAGAGAACAAATCTCTGTTTTTCTGCTTTTGCAGTTGAGAAACACAGAAATTTTGCAACATTTTGGCTAAGATGCTATTATAAATTAAGAAATATTTATTAGATTTTTTTGTACTTGAATATTTTTACAAAAACGATAAATATATTGGTTTTTGAAAGAATTAAAAAATCATTAAGTCATTAAAATTACTGTTGAAAAATAGAGATCTGTGGTAGGAAGGTGAACATTTAGGTTTGTATGCAATTTTATTAAAAGCCATAAAACCTTGAGAATTCATTATACTTTCTACTTGTAATTATGAAAAATGGATGTTTACCCATTTTATATCTATGTATACAAAATTGAAAAAAAACTGTAATTAAATTAAAATTTAAAAGCACTTCCAGAGGGGTTTACTGTTTGTCAATGCAAATTAATTTGTTTATTTTATTTTTAAAGTACCCTAATGAGTAAATGATTGTTATTAACATTAAACTATATATATATATATATATATATACATATGAATACTATTTTATAATAAAAACTGTCATTGGCTCATTTATTAATACAACATACACTATTTTATTCCCTTTTATTGAGAACAAAATAAAATTGAAAAACTTTGTATGAAACTTTAAAATAAAATAAATGAAACTTCTCACATTCAATAAGTCAAGAATACATAAATAAATAAGATATTTAATAAAAAAAATATTTATTTTCATTCTTCAGACATTTTATCTTTCTATTTTTATAGCCCAAAAATTTCATCTTATTGCCTTAATTTTCTAAATATCTTTCTCCCGTGCTAATAATATTTTTCGATAGGAAAATTCAATTAGGGGTTCCTAATGGACCCTAATTTGGGTCGAAAGGATACATTAAAAGAAGTTAATTCAATATAAATATCAAAGTAAAAGAACGCGGTGGAGTAATATAGATAATTGGTTTTTCTCAAAAAAAAAAAAATGGAGGAGAAAATTGTAGAAGATTTGTTTAGAGTGGAAAAATAAATTATATGTAAAAATTCATAATTTTAGTTAAAAATTTTGTCTAGACAAAAATAGTTCAATTATAATAATGAGATGGGCTCTCGGAACGTTTAAAGTGAGTACTTGCATGAAACTTGCCCTAAGGCAAAATTCCTACCACCTACACCTATTTTTTTTGTTATTCTGATTAATTATTTATTACGTCAATTGCAAAATGCTACTGAATGGAAAGCACTCGAAATATTATTTTTATCAATGGAAAGTAGTTAAAAGCATTTGTTTCTGATAAGGAAATTTTTCAGAGTTATCAGTACACACTTTAGGATTATGATAGGAAAACATATGTTAAAGGATTAGTAAACATGATTTATTAAATGAATTAAATTATAGTAATAAATATGATGACGTGAGAGCTGAAAATCAGTTTATTTTATAATACACAAAAGTATTGAAACTTTTGAGCTTTTGATTTGATTTTGATATAAATGGTAATTTGGAAAATTTGTGCAAAATTAAATGATCTTTCATATCATCTACCCTTATAATACCTTATGACAACTCAATATACTCAAAAAAGGGAAAGAACAGAAAAATATCCCAAACTAAAATGATTGCTTAAAACTTTTGAAAGTTGTAAATAATATGTTTTGATTAACCTTAAGTTGAGGTTTTCGCATTCTTTTAAATATATACATACATACGTATATATATATATATATATATATATATATGTATGTATTATATACATTCATTCAGAAAAAT